TCACATTCATTTTACCATGACCTACCTCTTCACCGTCGATCAAGGAATTAGGGTTTCTCGATGGATAGATTTGCACAAAATGTAGGGATTGTCCCGAGAGCCGAGAATACTACAGTTTGAGCGAAAAGGGCTTTCAGCTTCTCTCCACATCTCACTACCAAAAAGAAAAAAGAAACCTATCGGAACGTTTGAGCTTCTCTCCACATCTCACTTCTCTCTGCCTTGTTCGACGGCAATCACTGGCGACGAGGTTGGTTCCTTAGCCGTCTTTTTGGTCTTCATGTTCAAACCCCTTTGCTTGTATGTCTATGAGTAGTTGGCACTAAATATGTGCTCCTTACAGTCACATGAATACACATGTTCATGTTGCAGAAATATCTGATACTGAATCCCTTTTATGGTCTAACCGGTGTATTTGTTGATGCAGCAACGAAAAAATGGTTGTTGAAACTCGTAGACAGTATGGCAAGAAGGTGATAGCAGCGAAATGGAATGATATAGAGTCTGCCGAAAATGTCTCCATCGACATCTTATCCCGATTGTCCGTACGAGACATCCGGTCTTTAAAGACAGTAAGTCACAGATCTATTAGCACTAAATATTTTGCTCAACAACAGATTACACACTCCAGGAAGAAGCCCTCATACATTTCTTGTCCAGGGATGGATAAGACCATGGATTTGTTCTTGTTGAGACCAGGAAGTCTCAAACTTATGAACTTAACTAGTCTTAATCCTCCTGAGAAAGGTGACAACGGAGACTTGTACATGATATCGTCCTTCAACGGACTTATATGTTGTATATACCGCATCTATGACAAAACCGTAGGAAGCAAGTTTCGTGACCTGCAGATCTGGATATGCAACCCCTCTACAGGGGAAACTCTCCCCCTTCCCCAAGGGACACCTTCCTTTGGGGTTGAGCCAAGTGTTGGAGTAGCTTATGGCTCAGACATTAGTGATTATAGAGTATTCAGAATATTCTGCGTTTCAAAGAAAGTATCTGAAGCGATGGAATCAATGAATGTGAGGTGTATTTGTCCACTACAGGTGCTTGGAAGAACATCGGGCCCTTGCCTTGTGTTCCAATGCGAGCAGATTTATCTCCTTACAATTCTAGCTATGTATTTGTTAGACAAAAGGTCTACTGGCTAGTTTCTTTAGATAACTCAGACGCAATCCTTTCTGTGGATTTGGAAGGGATATTTGAAGTTATGAAGTTGCCTAAGCATGCAAATTACTTGAAAGAAGAAGGCATAGTAACATGGGCCTTATATCTTATCAATCTGCAAGGATCTCTCTTAATGGTTGTTCTACATCGAAACTACATGGATATATGGGTTTGGAAGGAAGACAAGCCAAAATGTAGCTGGGTACATATATGCGCAGATAATACGCCGTTCAGCCAAGTTGAATTGGTTTTCACAATAACATCATCAGAAAATGTGATAATATGCATGAGTCTAACACACTGGTGTAGTTATGATGTGGATACTAGAATTTGGAACAAGGGAAAGAAGAATAAGGATTTACTTTGGAATCCTGCCATGTTCCCTTTCACCGAGAGCATTCTTCCTTGTAAGTTGTGTTTATATGATTCAATGTTTTTTCCTTGTTTGATTTCTAATCTCTGTTGTTTTTCTTAATTCAGGCAATGGTGGGGTGGAGCTGTTGAAGGAACATGAAGAAGAGTATATCTGATGTGATGGAGAGATTGTTGAATGTGGAGGAGGTGATGTGTTCCTCTAAGGATATTGTTGAATGCGGAGGAGGTTATGTTTTCCTCTCAGGATGTTGTTTTGGGTTTAAAGACTTTGTGCTTTGTGCTTGGTTTTATTCTTTTTCTTGAACTTGTTTCTGATTTTAAAACTTCCCATTGATATTAGTAATACGCAGTGTGTGCTTTATCTCTGAACTATGTTTTATTGAATGTTATGAAAACCATTATGCTTTGATTCTCTTTGTATTGCATGTTGTTTGTATCGCTGGTTTTTGAGTTGTGCTTAGTGCTTCCTTCTTTTATACAATTTGCCTAACATCATATATTAAACTGGTTTGTTTAGTCTAAACTTTGAAGAAAGCATTCACAAATCGAAACTGCATAAACAACAAAACAAAAAAAGATTAACCATCTAATCAAAGTATCAAACCAATGGATTCTCCGTTATACGCAACTTCTTTCAAGTGTTTTCTCATCGAGGAGTCTACTGTTTCATGCCTTCTTTGAGGAACGAGAGCTGTGGAAAGGAGTCCGTAGAAGGAAACTTACGGCCAGGCATGATCCACTTTGACCCTTTGCCTATATCACTATACACTAATGAAACTCTTGCATTAACACCAAGAAACCAGTTTGTTGGAACATTGGTCAGATATATCATATATGTTTGACTTCAAAAGCATTGTAAATCTTGTTTAGAGTCAAAAGTATTACACAATGGTACCCATCTCAGTTAAAAACGTATAAGTACTAAGAACTATCTTTCCAAGCTAAACTCCTAACCATACAATTGAACAATATATCCAAATCATTATAACTCTTGACTGCAATTCATCAACCAAAGTTATGGAAACATCATGCTTAGAGAAAGAGGTTCCTCTTCTTCTATGCTTTAGCCATTCACACAATAGAAAATTCAACGAGAAAGTAATGGGCTTTAACCCAGTACGGCCCAACTAGTTGTCTCTGCATACACTACTTGCGTCTAGTCTGTAACTAGAGGCACAAGAAACACATTTGCTTTGTGTTTCTCGTCTTGTCTCTCTCAGATTCCTCCAATGGCGCAGATGAAGCTTAATTTGGCTAATCTCGCCGTCTCTCCTCAAATCTACCGCTCTGATTTCCCCTCCACATTCACCTTCGGCGTTGCCACTTCCGCTTACCAAGTACCTC